ATGCAGCAATGCGCCGATTGGCAGCATTACGTTGTCAGTGAGTATTGCGGCTTACTATAACAACCTTTTCTCAGCCGCAATTTCCAACATTGAGCGCCGCCTGGCTTCAATGGACCAGGGAATAAATGGCCGATTAAATATTATGGATGGCCGACTGGCTGTCCTGGAGGGTGCTGTTCTCAGGCAACCGACAACAACGGCTGCGATGACGACGTCCCGCATAGTAGCGTGCCCAGTTTCGTCGCCTACATCGTCCCTGGGCGATTCCGAGGACTCGGAGATAAGAGTCGCATACAATAAATATCTGGAGCAGACGGTATAACTTCCGTTAATTAATAACAATTTGTATATTATTTATTGAGCTCCTTCAGTGCTCAAAGGGAGCTCAGCGAGCCTATTATCTGACAGTAGGTATTTTAATGGCGGCAAGGAAAGTGTTCGTTGTATTATGTTTTCTCTCTTTTTTCATATGAGGGTTTTTGATGGGCACAGATGGGTTTACGATTTCCTGCATTGCTGATTATTCCATTTTTTTACTTGGCAGCGCAACTGGGTTTGCATTGAATACATTTCAAGCATACTTCGCTTGCTTAACTTTGGTGCCATCGTACATGTTTGAGTGATTGGTTTATCGTTCAATTTTTAAGCAGGCAGAAGTTCGAAAGTATTCAACGTTAAAAGGGGAATCGACAATTTTGCAGGCAGGATATCTAATGAATATATGGGCATCATCGATTTGGTAGAGGAAACATTAAGTTCCGCTTCGTTCAAGAGCTCGCAATTAGAGCTCACATAGGCAGACACTTAGTGAATATGAGGATAGGATTCCCATATATTCACCATGTTCCAGACCATCATCGACAAATCAACGAGCCCGTGGTGCAATGTTAAAGTGCTTAACTCAATAACCGGAGGTCCCGGGTTAGAATTTCGGAGGTTCCAACCCTCGAAATTGAGTATGAATGGCTGGTGGCGGCTAACAATCCAGAAATGGCCATTTTAGGTCCCCCTTTGTTTTGTCGTATCCATTCCATCTTATCCTCATAGAATGTCTTATGTTCGTATTTATATTGTCTACGATTTAGTGTTCTAAGAGAAGTTGAAGAATATTGGGTTTTCCAAAATGTTAGGGTCGTCTGTGTGCAGGAGTGCCAATCCCAGACTGTGCGTCTGCCTGCTTAGAATCAAGGATCATTTGGTAGTTGATCGTAAAACTTTGTCAGCTATGCCGTAAGCACGCACTCTGACCACTGCAGTCGAACGTGTTGGGAGTCGCAAAGGAGTAGCATTTTCAGTCTGCTCAAACTACAACTGCAATACTTAGTCTTGGATCCCCAATCTGGTGATGGTGTAAGGAAGCTCTGTACATTTCCGTAGAAGTAGTATGACGTACAATTTTAGGTTCTTTATATCACCCTTTATGCATAATTGGTTCCCCTGTAGTCTATTTAGTGCATTATTTAAGTCAACGTTTCTGACGTAAACAGTATCAGTTCTATCGATTGCTGAATTTCGGCATCCACTTAGAATATATAGAATACCAGTATTTTCTGCGGTCAGATTAAAAACTTCAAAGCCCACAGTGGAGGAACCAATCAATTAAACTCAGCTCTACCGTCCTAGTCTTCTAGAGCCACATTATGAAATTCCGAAACACTCTCAAATCTTTACATTTGACAGCTTTACGGAACATTTATTTATGCGCACGTTTTATAGAAAAAGTTTAAGGATATTATGTCTCCCAAAATGTTGGGGTCCTCTGTCTGCAAAATTGCCGATTCCAGGCTGTATCGAATATTGCTGGGACTCTGTCTGCTTAAAAGTTGAGCGACAAGGTAATAATTTACACAAACCGAAGATGGCGTCAGCGTCAAGCAAGTGAAGTATGCCTGGAATTTTTTGAATGCAAACCCACTTACTTTGTCAAGTTATAACAGGGAGTGCAAAAAATGTTGAATCCATGCACGCCTGCCCAAAAACCCTTATATGGAGAAAGGGGGCAAGCGTAAAAAACGAATGATTCTCTTTTACACATAGCTAATCGACACTGCAATCCGTGTTAACGGATTAAGATTGATTTACCATCCATTCTAGAAATGGGAGACTTTATTTGCCATTGTCTCTTAAATAATGAACAATTGGGTGCTGTTTCCATGGCACTACTAAAACATTTCACGATTGGCTGTTCTGCTACGCGAATTTTGCTTGCCTTCCTTTGAGCACTGATGGAGTTTATGCAACTTGTAGCGTTGATAATCGGAGTGGCGTTTGTAGATACGTTAATGAGTACAAACAACAGAGCCGATGGAGTTTCTCCTATAAGAATCTTCATAGAACATGATACTCTCACTAACAACTACGGAATTGAGAAGCAGATGACTCAATCGCTGGGACAATACTTTTATTCACCTGGCGTTTCGAGATTCGTCGCGGATTCTTCATCAGAGACATAGTCAGATAGCAGTAGCAGATACGAGTTTTCTGACATGGATGCTTCCCCGTTCGCATCGCAGGTGGTTACAGAACTGTGTATTGCCTGGGTTGGCTGAGTAGCGGACTGCAATGAATTCTGTTTAATTTGGTCTCTATGTCACCTTCACAACGTGGGATCAGAGCCAAGCGTGGCGGCACGCCTTAAGATGACTGCTCGTATCTACGCCTTCTCCAGCTTGAACTCTTCTTGACCTGATTATCATACGAGGGCCAGGTGAGGAGAGGAGGCGAGACAGCGGTAGATGCAGCGAAAGTACTCTCACGCTACTTTATTTCGCGCAAATCATCACGCTTGCCTCCAGTCTCCTGTAAGGCCCAGTTGTTTTCCAAATTTTTTTAGATCAATCAGTATTGATTTGAGGAGTCAAGTTGGCAAACACAGTGTTTTCAGCAAATCATCCGCAGGCCACACATTTGCAGGGGTAAT